GGATTCTCATTCTGTGAAGCTCTGATAGGATTTCAACAGCATGACTCCTGTTACATTCAGCAAAACTCCCACAGCTGAAAACTCACACACCACTTCAGAACTTTATTACTCATTGTTTGACCTCAGACTGTGTCGATGCATATATAGGTGGCTTTAGCTGTACTTACCCCAGAGACCTTTTCTTTCTCTGACTCATTCTGCAGTCACCTGAATCTGACAATCACTGGAGTACTTGGCTTGTAAATCTCCAGTGGTACATTGCAGAAGAAAGGCTTTCAATTTTGGAATATAATGTGTCCTTTTTATATTCAGATCATGTTGTAAGATTGCATTTTTGCTTTTTGAAGTTAAACAAATAAAGAAAGCAGCTTAAATCTTGATGTAAAGGAAAAGTTTGCTTAATGTCATTTTGTTTATTTATACTTGTATGTGTGCCTACAAGTGCACTTCTGGAAATAGGCAGAACTAAGAAAACTAGGGGGAAAGCTAACCGTAATGCTCTCCTGCTGGCTGTTCAGTGTCACCTAGTTTGTGCAGAGCACTCTACAGATTTCATTGCAATAAATAGAATACTTGAGTAGATTCCTTAGTTACTTGATAGTTTTGGTCTCAATGATATCCATGGGAATGAGATTCCTAAGTAGGATTTAGCTAAAATCACTGCAGATTTGGCTCTGTTTCTGTGAGTGCCTTTGTGGCTCTTAGCCTTATTCTGCTGTTCATAAATATATATTGACATCATAGAATATGATTCTGAGTCTCAGATGCAACAGTGAGCACCCAAAACTGCTGCTATATTCCCACCAGGAGATATGGCATTCTCAGCAAGCTTAGTTATTGTACATGACAGGTGATCTTTCCGAATATGTTGGTTTTAGCTTGATGAAGCAGAACAATAATTTCAGCTTTATTTGGCTTTTTTCCCCAGTAAGTTACATCACTGCAAAGTACCATACAACTACTGTTTTTCAGAGGTTCTGGAGATCTCTGCCCTTGTGAGATTCTTTTTACTTTTAATTTCTTTTAATAGGTACAATTGTCATCAGTGGAAAATAAAAGCGATGGAAACATTGCTATACTAGATTGTGGAGAATACTTCCAAAGAACAAGGAATTTTCGGCTTACTGAGCATAGTCACGCTTAGGGAATCAGAATTATGTAATCCTCAGAAATCCTGTAGAAAATCAGTGTCCTGAATGAAAGGCATCACTCCCCAGCAGGAAGTGTCACCTGGATTTTCAAGCCTTAGTGTGACTGCATTGTCCCAGCATCATTTATTTTGCTTCTTGTGACTGACAAATTTCCTTTGTTGCTGAGACACACATGAGAACATGATGAAGGAAAAATGGAAAAAAAGTCCATTTTGTCTAAAGGCAGAAGGAAAGGTAAAGGGAGGAGAAGGCTCATGTAGACACATGTAATGAGCACTACCTGTGTTGAGGATCCTGTTTTCATACCAGGACCTTAAGTAAACTTCTTAAAATAGGAGCTTTTTCTCACCATAGTTTGGATAATACATTTAAGCATTAAAAAATAAATAAATAAATAAATAAATAAAAAAAGTACAAACCTCACTGCTTCCAGAGTAGTTGTAGGAGCCCTGTGCCTTGGAGGAAGTTTTCCAGAGCAATAAAGCCCCCCTTTTTTTCTGTGGTCCTGCATCCATGGTTCCTCAATACAGGACTGGCTCAGGTAGCATTTGATAGCACCTCTCCAGCCCTTATCCTGCTTGCCTCAGTCAAAGGAGGGAGGAAACTAGAAGAATGAATAACTTACTTCTGCTTAACGACCATGCTATGGTGACCCAGCAGTAGTTCAGGGATGTGCCTGCAGGGCCGTGAAGAGATGCACTGGCAAGCTCTTGAAGTGGTAATTTGGGTATATATAGTACGGCAGTTGAAAAACCAGAGTCCTCCATAGGAGATAGCTGTGTCAGGTCTCATGAGAACTGTGTTGGATATTGAAGGCTCTTTGAGTTGTTGGAAAAGAAATGGATGATAATACTTCAAGAATTTGCAACCTTCACCAAATACTGCTGCTTTACCTGGCTGTTCTGGGATCTGTGTTATCAGCACTCATATCAGCATGCAAATCCTCATGCTGCCTTCACCCACATTTCACTGCCATCCCTCATTTAGGCCTAGATGAGAAATCCCCACTCCATACATGAAGGGATGCCCAGTTTTTAATGGGATCACTGTCCTCTCACCTTGTCCTTTGGTCCTGCTCCTGGATCCCACCTTTGTGCCATTCCCAGTCTGCCACTGATTCCCAGGAGCAGAGCCCAGCACCTCCCTATGCTTTTCCTTCTCAGGGAGCTGCAGGAGGAGTAAGGTACCTCTCGGCCTCCTCCAGAATGAACAGCCCAGTGCACCCTCAACCCCTCCTCACAAGACCTGACTTCAGCCCTATTACCAGCTCTATTGCTATCCTCTGAACGCTTCCAAGGACATTAACATCCTTTTCATGTTGTGGGGAACAGAACTGCACACAATACTCATCAACCCTAAATTTAGCAGTAGCATCACCTCTTTTGACTGGTAGGCTATGCTGTGTTTGATGATTCGCAAAATGCATTTTTCCAAATGCAATATTTTTTGTAATATTCCTACTGTAGACATTTTAGCTACATGGTTGAAATTAATGTGAAGAGAAAAAGGCTGCCAGGTGCAGTCTGGACATAATGCACGAAAATCACAGAGCTGGCTAGATAAGAGAATGTAGAAATGCTTAATTGCAGTTAGAATGATCTCCAGTGCAAGAGTACAAGTGAATCTTTTCACGAGCTTGCCAAATGAAGGAAGCTTTGAAGCCACGTTATCAAAACTGGAGATTACTAATCAAGAACTGCAGTTAACAGCTGGGCTTGGTTCAGCATTCATCTTTCAACATTTACTACTCAGCACAGGGACTCCCGCAGATGTTGAGATGGATTCACCCCCTTTGGCAACTGACAAGGAAAGGATTCACTCATCTTAGTGTCAGATGGGATAGAATGGTTTTATTTAGAGTGTCTGGTAAGACACTATGTTTTGGTTCTAAGAGAAAACACACCAATGCTTATAGTTCTGCTAAGCAGAGTTGTACAGAGCCAAGGCCATTTGCAGCAAAGGGCCCAAGGTGCTGAACGGGAGCAGAATTAGGACAGCTGACTTAAACTAACCAAGGGGATATGCCATACCATATGGCATCATGCGGATGGAGTTTTGAAGGGGGTGGGAGTTTATCTCTCTTCTGCTCATGGGAAGCTAGCTGGGCATTGGCTGGGGGGTGGCAAGCAGTTGCTTGTGCATCACTTATTGTATGCATTCATATGTATTTATACACATATGTATATTGTATATTGTCACATTTATTTTCCTGTTCCTTTTTTCTATCTTAGTAGATAGTTTTATCACAACCCATGACTTCTACTTCGTTTATTTTTCTTCCCAGTTCTCTCCTTGGTCCCACTCAGAAGGGGGGGGAAGAGGGAGTGAGTGAATGACTGGTGCTGGGCCATCTGTTGAATTAAACTGTAACAACTCTCCAGCCAGGTGGTCACAGCTGTGCACCTTTGGTGCAGGAGCTGTGAGGCAATATGCCACAGCAAATATAAAGGAGTATTCAGTATACGCAGGGCTTCTTGTAAATGAGCATTGAGAACTTCCCATGAGTGGTAAATGCCTCGAAGTCACAGGAGATGTATGACACATTATAACGTCAGGCCTGTCTAAGAAGACAGTTTATCAGGGAGTCCCATTGGCTGCCACAGCAACAGACTATGAAGAACCAGGGGGAAGTGAGATGCAGGGAATGTAAATGATATCCTTACTGCTTGTCAGAATGTCAAACATCTACTTTTTCATGGATTTGGGCATTAGCTACTTGTATTTTTATTTCCCTATATTTCTTTTTTTTTTTTTTTATTGTTTTGGCCTAAGTATTTCAAGAAAAAAGGCATTTTCCTCATGATCTAAAAATGATTGGCAGTCTCAGATGTGCTTGAAAGGCACCTGGACTGCCTACTTGTTCATTGTAGGTGAAACAACTATTTGATTATAATTATTTCTTAAGTTTTTAGAGATAATACTTTTTTTTTTCTCCAGATTTTAGATTTTAGGCAGTAAAATCTAATTAAATGCATTTTTTACTTTTGAAGAGTTTTAGATTATGTTCACAAACCTTGGCTATACTGAAGTGTGAGTATGTGAAATGATACACTGGAAAAAGCAATGGGGTGTGCCCTTTTTATACAGTACTTCCTTAAGATGTTTAATACGTACACAGTTCCTTCCCTGGAATAATAACATCAACTTCCCTAGTAAAAAAAATCAATAGAAAAAAAAGAATAGAACTGTTGCAAACCTTGATGCTCAGTTGGTTACCTTTTATTTTCTGCTACAATTAGCCAAGATTTCCTATATACGTTTTACTAACTTCATCATTAGAAGACTAAGATAAAATTGGATTCTTCACTCAGAATCAGTAAATTATATGAAGTTGGTTTTTAAGATTATTTGTTTTCATATGCTTATAACTCCCCTACTACACCATTGAAAATTAATAACTATACATATAAATGATCAGGAAAAAAAGATTAGTGTAGTGATATCTTACTTTTTCAAGTTAACACTGAGATGAAGAGAGTGGGATAGGTAATCTCTCCAATTGTAAGTCTGAGAAAACAGGGAGATTGTGGTTGCAGTGTTACAGGGAGTGTGTCCTACACTGATGCTATAGATTAAGAAAGAGCTGCTACAGCCATGCCCTCACACAACATTTCTCCTAAACCCTAGAAGGATGCAGTCCTCAGTATTTATTTAGTGACCTCCAGTGAAACCAGTACAGCTAATTCAGTGTTGATAACATTCTTTCTTTTGATAGATGTTTACATGATCTGTTTGGGAAAACTCACTTTCTGCTTGTTTTCAGCCACATCTGTACCAGATTGTACGGAGGCTGAGGGATCTATACTTTTGTTTCAATGTATATTGCAACATTTTTATTGCATTCCACAGGTCCTCCAGTAAACGTTACTTGCAATATTTTTATCAACAGTTTTGGATCAGTCACAGAAACCACAATGGTAAGTGCTATGATGCCATTGGCAAGAGAACAACAATACTTAATATATGTCATGAACACAACCTGTCAATTTTTCTATTTATTGTTCAACTTGCAGGTCCTCCTGTAAATGTTACCTGCAACATATTTATCAACAGCTTTGGTTCAATAGCAGAAACTACAATGGTGAGTGGGACTGGTCATTGAAGCCATCTTGTGAAGGAGTGCGATGTGATGTAGAATAGAGATGCTCTAGATGTGGGAACATTTATTAAGTTCTTAAATATACTAATTTCAGCTAAATTAAAATATAAGTTTTATAAAATAACTTTATTTATAAAAACCTGTTGAACTCAACTATCACATCTTAATATATATCTGTAGTTGCCCATAGTCTGTATTGACTGTGATGGCAGTAACTACAGGCATGCCCAAGGCAGCTTTCCCAGATGTTAGCACTGCAAAGGCAGAAAAGTTGCTGGAACTCAGCTGTGGGGCTGCTTGCCAAGGGCTCAGTGTTTGAGTGGTTCTACAATCCTTGCTGAATTATCTGCTGCTGCAGACTGGGCTGACAGAAATACCTGAACTGTCTCATTTAACTTAGCTATATCTCTGAATTTAGAAATCACATCGGTAACTCAAGTAAATGCAAGTAAATATAGCTATGAGTAGACTTCATTATTTTCAGGGCCAAAATCATACTAGAAAGTGTTGGGACTGCAGATGATGAAAATTTTTATTTTGACTGAATTCAAAGAACACTATCAGCCATAAAATAACTACCAAAGTAAAAAATTCATTTTAATATTTAAGAAGTTAAATAGTTAAAATTATCAATTGAAATTAGTATTTTAATACGAGATAAGATTTTTAAAAATTGCTGAAGTTCAGGATTAAGAAATAATAAGAAAAATAACGGTGGTGACAATTGTTGTCTAATTTTCTTTTTTAGTCTGAAATCTAAAAAAGCTAAACTTTCATTTTCTTTAATACTTGCTGAGGAAAAGCAAATCCAAGTGCATGTAAGAGTGGTTACTTACTCAAGCACACATGCACCTGACTAATGAGTTTAATGCATTTTTTTTTTTTTTTTTTTTGTGGTTCTCATATAATGTGATAAAGATATAGTAATTACCAGGTGCGTGTGTGTATCCATTCTCTAAAAGACCTTGCAACAGATCCCAGTTTTACTTTATATTCTTTAAGTTTCCTCTTCCATAAAGTAATCTAAACAGAAAGTTCCCACCTTCACTGAAATTTTGCAAGAGTTATGCACATTGCCTCAGGGCACAATGTTCAGGCCTTCCTCTTTTTTTTTTTTTTTTTTCCTTTTAAAGGCAGAGTCAATAAATGTAGGACTGCAGGACTGAGTTCTTATTAAAGAAAAATAAACTTGTTACCTACTGAAGTTACAGCAAAGAGCTGTTTTCTATTATAAAATAAGATAAATATTGGCTTGAAATAATTGCCTTCTGAAGGAAGAAAAGATATTTTGTCTAATTCAGGCATTTTATTTAACATTAAAATACTTTATTCATATGTAATTGCTTGAAAAAAATCTACAGCAGTTATTTAACATTTTCTAGAGGAAAAAAGGCAAGTAGTTACTAAAACAATTTGCATTCTTAAATAGTGTAGGAAAGATTCTTCTATAAATGACACAGCTATAAAATACATAGTTAAAAAGTAAACAGTAAAGTTTTAGAATATGTATCCATAGTCTTTTAAAAACAACTTAAAATGGAACTAAAACCAATGTAAGTTTTATATGAAAACTCCCTTAACCTTTATTTAAAATAATTATCAGCAGACAACATTTTGAAAACTTTGCTTTCCTGTGTTTAAAGAGTTTGAAAAGACAGATATGAATGTAGACTTTTTTATCCAGCTGTGTCTGTTGATCTTAAGATGTAAAGACATTAGCATAACTTTAAGTAGCAAAAAAATCCTGCACGTCACTGGCTTTACAAGATGGCATTCAATGAAAATATTTGCACGACCTAATGCTGATTGCATTAATTAGACTCCTTCATTGCTTTGATTAAATCCCCTCATTGCATTTTACCGTCTATCAAATATGTTAATGTGCACCTTTTCAATGTTCATTAACACATTCTGCTGAAAACAGCTAAACATTCAAGTTGATAAAAACAAAGACTGTTGGCTTTCTTATTTCGCTTTGTTCGTGATGCTGGAAAGTATGGAAAAAGTTCTCTTAGATATTGTTTGGTACTTTGATATTCACTTTCTTAATGCTGTAACTTCTTTAGAGACAAAGTGACTAGTTTTAGGATGTTTAAAAACTGGTCTGAGAGGCAGACATCAATTGCTGTTGCAGCTACTTTGTTTTTCTGAAATAAATACAACTGTGGTAAAAATGTTGGCATCCCTTGTGATAAACAATGAGTTTTGTTTGACCTCTAGGATTCTTTTTCCCTATAAAATGCACTTGATCATTTTGATCAATAAATAAAAAATTAAATTAAAACCCTGGATTGTTAGTCAGAAAGGGACATTCCAGCCTCAGGGGACAGGGATGCTTAGTGAAACTGCATATATATACTGAAGGGACGTTGTCAAGATATAACTTTGAAGAGCTGCAATAGCTCACTGGAAACCTTGGGAAATGAAAACTTGTTTAGAGAGGATTTCAGCAGGAGGAACATGGCAAACCGGATTACAGTCCCATACCTACTAAATTCATTCAGTTCTCAATAATGTTAGCAGGAGTATCTTCTGTTTTCTTGTTAGGATAGACACCAGGAGTACATTTATCCCTGTGTGAATAGCTAGCACAACTCATGCATTTTCTTCTAAAAGTTAAAACCTATTTAACTGAGGAAAGAAACAGAGTTGTGCACTGACTCTCTTCAAAAAGGTTAACCACTGTCTTCATGAGTTTGGCTCCCAAAGATTTACAGAAACAAAATGCCAATGTGTGAGACTCTCTGCACTATTATATACAGGTGGGACAGTATCATGATTTATTTTGATTTGTTCCAAAAGCAAGTTTCTTCCACATTAAAATGATGTATATTATACCAAACCAAAATATTTAAAAGGCCAGACCAGAGTCAAGATGGAACTGTTGGAAATTTTCTTTATTGATCCACATGTCATCATTGAAACTTTAATTTGCAAAGAAAGGGGGAAAAAAAAAAAAAGACATTCCTGTGTAACTTCACAGAATAAAGTGATTGTGCCATTAAGCTTTATATCTAATTTTAGAAGCATTCATAAACACAGTATTCAGCAGAAAATTCAGTGTTGTTGAATATCACAGATGAGTAATCTGCATCAGGCTGGGCAAAGTCCCAAAATATTCAAATGTCCAGTGTCACTAATGACCAGGATATTTTAGCTATCAGCTGTAGGAGAAGCTAAGAGCAGTTCCTACATTCATGAGCTAATGGTTAATTACAGAAATGACTAACTGTGGGGACATTTTTACTGTAGTTACGCCCTGTAATCAATGACTGAGTATGCAGCAGGTTCTCTGTTGGGATAAACATATCAAACTCCATTTTAGGGAGAAAAAATCTTAGCTGTGGCTGTGTGGATGATATTCCCATTAGAAAACATACATTGCAAATCAATTTATTAGATCCCAATTTGAGCAAATGAGCAATTTGCATACACAGTTTAAACTGCACAAAGGACTCCCACTGATGTCACTAGGGACACCCTACATACTCAGGTGTCTAGTTAAGCAAGATCTTTTCTGTTATGGCCTTGAAATAGATTATTAGAACACTATTATTCAGCTAGCATTCATATTTTGCACTTGGAGAGAAAATAGTCTCTCTGGTCAGCCACTCCTATGTCTGCAAGACCAGCTAAGTTTGCTGTTAGCATCAGACATCTGACTTAACACCTGGGGTACTAATGTGATTGAAGGGGAGGATGGGAAGAAAGATAACATCAAAGAGGAGTAAGTCCAAAGCATGTTTGGAGACAGAAAACAGCACTGAAAGGGGAGTGGGACTTCCCAGCACTCCCTGTCAAAGTAGTGCCTGAGGCTAAAGGACCACAGAGCTTTGCTGAAGGCTTGGAGGGGGAACCTGGGGTCTGTGGAGCTGATATCCTTAACTTTGCCCAGCCTGAGGAAAATAGAAAACATTTCTCTCTAGACTTCTGTAACAGAACTTAGTATATGTGGACTGAGTCCCTAAATCTTCATATAAATCTAATTAAACTGCTCAGAAGAATATTTCTTTAGTATATTAGCATTGTCCTGGTCTTATGGCTTGAGAACAGAGGAAAACTCTTTATTGAGTTGCCTTGAGCTATCACTGGCATCAGTACTGCAACTGAGATTGAAAATTCAGGTCCACACTTCTCATTCAGAGCAGTGGTTCTGTCAGAAAGGATTTGTGGAGCAGGTGTACTTGTGGTAGTGTAGGAGTGCATTACTACAGTCCTCCTACTCCTACCCTCAGGAACTTGCAAAACACACACCATAGGCTGCCTGAGCTCCATGTTGAGATATCATCCTCAGGAGAGTTTTCCTCTGGGAGATAGTTAAAGTGTTAGCCCAGGAAAAGTGAATTCAAAATTCTACACATGATTACATCTGACTGTGTAAATGCACGTCCCTCCTGGCTGCTTATTCCACAAGCAGAAGAGGAAAAATATAATCATGGCTTTATGGTGTGAAAGTTATATTTCCATTTTTAATTTCTTATTGACATATTTTTATATATACATAAATAAACATATGTTTATAGATAGTGAAGCCAGTCAGAGAGCAACAAATGTTTCAGTGCTGTTTTCTTTCTAACAGCACAGTCTGTAGTGAAAAAAACTCTTTGAAGTGTATTGGTATGATGGCTCTAATATATTTATGAAAATGTATGCTGAAAAATATCATATAATCCTACTGGCATTATTTATGCTTTTGGTATAATATATATCATATGTAAGCCCTCCTACAAATAAGGATTTTCCTGACTCACTTTTGTTTGCTAAATCACCAACTGCAGGAGTTCATGAAAGAATATTTATTTTTAGATATTTCTTTGCAATTTGCTGACTTGACTGATTTATGATTTCTGTGTCATGGGTGAAGAAATACCTCTGCTTTCCACGGATTTTGTTACGTATCTTATTTCAAATAAACATGAAAAAGTGTTACATGACTAGTTATAATGATTATATAGTATAATTTCATTTACTGATAACACCTCTTGCCTTCTTTTAAGTAGAGAGAAAATAAAAAGTTCTCCTGTCTTCATAACTAAAACTGTCCTATACAAACTTGTAAGACAGTTTCTAAGATCAGGAAACAAAGGAAAATATGCTCAGGGTTGGTGCATTCTTGCAAGATTTGATATTTTATAAGCTCAGTACAGTGAGTAACAACTTGATTTTAAACTGTTATGAAACAAAACCATCATAAAGAGCACAATGTCTTGTGACAAATAGTTACGAGCTTTTGCAAGATCTTTAAAAAGCATGCCATTCATATAGGCTGCTATCTGTTCTGTCTTGCGCTGATTAGATGTTTTGATTCACATCTACCCAAGAGCAAAATAGAAATAATAAAGGAAGCAAGAGAATACACATTACTAGTGAAATTGTGAAACATCATCCTATAGGTCTCAAAAACTGTATTAGTTTCTATGATAGAAATATTCTGCCAGGGCAGCAGCACACTTCATTGTGAATCTACCAAGTGAATGGTGGGAACACCAAAGGTTGGTGGGCCTCATTCCACAACTCTAATCAGAGTGAGAATATTTGTTTACATTTCAAGGGTGTTTTATATTTGTTTACATTATTTGTTTACATTTCTTTAGACTGATAAAGTTCAGTGCCCTATCTGAACACGTGTGAACTTATACATTTTCCAAGTCAAAAGCGTAGTTTTGCCTTTTTAATGTACTGCAGCTACCCCCAAACAAACCCTAAATGTGAGGCTTTGTACAGTTGATGGAATTATTTGCTAATGTAATTTTTCAGGTAATATAATCTATATAAATATTATTAAATATTTTCCTTTTAGATAATAGTAGGTGTATTTTAAGAGAATATTCACAGAATATCTAACTGTGGTAATGTAAGGCAAATGTATGCTATAATTGCAAGGAAAGATAGGCGAAATTATGTTCTTACTTGCTGACTTTGGAAATACAGAGGAGAATGGGCACTAGCAGTTTTCCATTCCCTCCACTGGATTCTGGATTAGACCCTAAAAGCTCTTTTCACACACCCTTTTAATAGCCAGTTCTCAACATGGTGTTAATTCTGGTTCTAAATGAACCTCTATGTAATTGCTGTCTTCCCAGTTGTGACTAACAGACCACTGAGCAGAAGAATGCAATTAGAACAATTTTAAGAGGATGCAGGAGAGAGAAGTAAATGAAAGAACGTACAGAGAAAAGCATATGGTGGATGGAAAAAGGATAGAGACAGTAAATAAGAAGTGCTGATTTAATTTCTTCTGTACAAATCTGGCTTCACTGAAATTAACAACTATTCACGAGTACATTAGAAATGATTTACGTATTGGAAATAATTTATTTGAATTAGCAGTTTTATAACAAATTTGTTGAAATTCTATGTAGCTAACCACAGCGCTTTTTTAACTTTCCAAATACCACTGGGATAAAACATTGTATTTCTAAGAGAGTTATATTTAACATTGGATGTTGCAGTTGATATTTTCTTCATAACTGAAGTAATTTTGATTTGGAAAATGTAACAGTTTGTTTGGTTCAGTATGATATTCAGACTGCTTTATTTTCAAATGACAACTCTTGCATCCAAAGGATGGCATAAATGTTTGCTATAATGCTGAAATAAGTCTGAACCATAAAGAAAGCTAAAGTGAGCTTCCAGTTTTTCTAAGTGGCTCAATAACCTCTTTACATGGCATTTCTGTAGGACTACAGAGTGAACATTTTTTTGAGACAGCAGTGGAACGATTCACGCCTGGCTTACAGCGAATATCCTGATGATTCCCTGGATTTGGATCCCTCCATGCTGGACTCTATTTGGAAACCAGATTTGTTTTTTGCCAATGAAAAGGGAGCAAACTTCCATGATGTCACAACAGACAATAAGCTGCTAAGGATTTCTAAGACTGGAAAAGTGTTGTACAGTATCAGGTAAACCAGTTAACTTTATCTGCTCTTCATGCCATTCCTTCCTCTTACTCCCTGTTTTTTTCTAGATGTAGCTAGGCTTGGAGAACACAATTTACATATTTGATTTTTTATTATCCATGTGTACAACCAAAATGAGATTTAATCACAGCAGGATAGAAGGAAAATTTGCCTACATTCCTTTACTAAGTCTCTTAGTTCTCACAAGATAGTAAGTTGCACAGCGGTACTTTCTAGCCTTGCTGGAAACTTTATGTTGTCTACTACTTTACTGATATGCCTCAGGAATTCCCATCAGCATTATTAGCTGAAGTCACTCCTCTTACAAAGAAAAAAAAATACCAACTCTTCCATAGTTTGTCAACTGCAATTCAAAAATAAAGGGGAATGTTATCTTAAGTGGCTACCAAAAACCTGAAGTAAAAATTGGCTTGAAACACAACAAATTTGACACACAAGTCTCAGGGTAATTGGACGTATCTGTTCACAGATAAAAATAATTGGAATTATGGAAAGCTTTTTTTTTTTTATACTAAATGCACTGAAGTGTGTGTCATGTGACTGGATTTAGGCTGAATGGATAAATGCAGTGTGCCAAAATACAATTGAATATTATCTGATGAAATGGGACATATGTAAAGAACCAATTGCATTGCAAAAGCATCAAGAACAGCAAATCTGCAATATTTGTTTAATATTCAGCTTATTGTGTGCTGTTAATTTAGTATAAAAAATCATGGTGAAAAACACTGCATTATTGCAACAGTTTAGAAAGATAATATCGTGTTCTGTGTTTTCCTAGGATGCTTTGCAGTCAGTTTCCTGCATGGTGAAAAGTAAACATGGTAGTACCTGTTTAACTGATCTGTTTATTGAATTTACTCACCTGTAAGGAAAATCAGCTGTTAAGACTGTAGTTTCTGATCAGGCATTCTGGTTCATGATCGGAATTTTCTCTGAGGAATTATTATTGATCCAGGTTAAGGACAACTGAGTTCTCTAGGATGCTAAATTAATAAACAGTAGCATAACATTTCCTCCATTTACTTAATTCCTTTGGAAATTCCTTGATAAGAACTTAACTATGTTTGGATGGATCAGTCAGCATGGAACATAAGTGTTCACTGAGCAAGATTTCAAATTAACATACCTGAACAGTCTGAGAAAAATAGTAGCACAGAAGAGTGAGACTAGCACTAGCAGAGTGATAAATATGCTGTCACTTACAAATATTTCTTGTTTCCCTCTCAGAAAGAAATGAATGCAACTGTTTGTTTGAATGACATCAGCCACCACCTTATTGGAGGCAACAGTGCAGCTGAGTGCTGTTCTGAATACAGATGGATAATTTCCCTGACATTTGTTCATGCAGGAAAAATAATATTTCAAGCTGTCATACCACATTTGTAAAATTCCCACTCCTAAATACAAATATGTGAAGTAGAGTAAGCAATATTCCAATGAAGGTCTAAGAAAATCAGTCTTACCTGGTGCCTCTAATATGGCATATAATTTTGAGTAATATTTTACAGGGAAGAAAACTTTCTCCAGTACTGAACTTTGAAGTTATAAGTAATTAGAAAAACTTCTCTATGTGCTGTTTGTCAATTTCTTTTAGTTGTGTTATGCTGAAACAAATAATATTTTAGTGATTTGTTTCAGTGCACTGAGGTTGGTAAAATGTTGCCATTTTCACTCACAAACCAACCAGACCTAGCCTGATGTAATGGTATTTAACTTTTAACATTTAGATGCTCCTCATGTTTAAAATGCTTTTAACACACATCTGGGAAGTGACATTGTGGTCTATTTTGTCGTATGTTCAAATTTAATAGAAGCAAGGGCAAATTTGTCTTGTATACATGTAAACCACTGTCTCTACTAAATGAGTTTAGAACAACTCCCTGTAATAACTGGGTAAGAACTGGGGTGTGGGTATTATACAGCAGCAGTATTCATCTTCCCTTTAGACTTCATCTGAAAGTGGAAATACGCTCTCTTAGAGGCATGCGTGGCTTATGCTGCTAAATGCCATGAAAAGCAAATCCTGCCCTTTCTGAGAAGAATTTGGACCTAATATGATCCTTATTTTACATTTGGTGTAGGATATATGTGCTCAGGTAATTTATTGCAGGATCACAGAGGGTTTAGACCTGCATTACCTCCACCACAACACATTGCTTTTGGAATTCTTATGTAGAATCATAGAATCATTGAAGTTGGAAAAGACCACTAAAATCATCTAGTCCAACTTTCAACCCATCAGCACCATGCCCACTAACACATGTCATTCATGTCACCTCATTATAAGCAAGAGTCAGTTTGCCTTTCTTTTAGTAAGGGATTATCCATCTTGCATTCATTGGTGATGATAGGCATGACATAGATTTCTGTCACTGTTTTCCACACCGTTGTTAGCTATTATGATCATGGTTGCAGTCTATTAAATCTATTCTCTGGGAGTTGTTATGGAATTAAAGCCGGAGTGGCTGATGTACTCACCTATGAATCATATAAGTAAGTTTAGGATTCTAAACCTATTTTTAGGTATTTTCTGCATGCTTGGATGACTACTTTGGTATTTGTTTTAATCTCAGATATCATGGTATATATGCTATATAAAACCTGAGGCAAGACTGGTACAGAGAAAGAGCTTCTGAGCTTACAATACTTGGAAATGAAGGATATGAGGAACATGAAGGATTATGGAGCTATAGTGATTTAAGTCCATTTTCACAATAAGATCTTCATTATTTTGAAGAGAATTTGAAGTTTTAAGGTAGAGGATGACATTTTGCTCCAGACCTGGAAGCTAAATGGCACACAGCCCATGTCTTTAGAGAAAACTAGTCCAAGTCCTTGTGTACTGCAGAGCAGCCAAAAACCTCTGGGAAGGAATTCGGCATTGCTCAGTATCACAGATATATACACTTTTGTCCCTAGTGAGGTGACAACAGCTTTTAGAGGTGCATGCATTTTAGAAGTCAGCAGTTACAGTAAAGTTATATTCAGCAAGCAACTGCACTTCAGTCAAGATAAGTCTCAGTGGCACTCTTTGAGCTGCACAGCACTGTTAAATAACTATAGTTTTTGTTTTAAAGCTCTCTGCAGAGAGTGCTCAATGAGAGGGGTTCATTACAGCAGTGTTCAATATAATTGGCTTATGTTGTGTATATACTGAATGCTGAAAAACAATGAGACTAAATCTCAGCCCACACAACGTCACCCTCCAGATGCCTGTGACTCATCCCTCTGAGCTCACAACCCTTGAATGATCTCTGCATGGGCTGGATTTTGTAGAAGGACTACAAACTTGGAAAGAATGGCAGTGCTATGTGATGATACTGACAGTCTTGTTCCTGACACTCATATTCTGTATGACACCTGGATTTTGTGTTGTGTACACTGTTGAACTGATTTTATGTTCCAAGGGCAAGGATCATATCTTCCCTGTCCCACTCTGGGCAGCTGGGACACCAGCAAAATGCTAAAGACCCTCATAGGAGGCTTTGCCTTCTTTTTGAGCCACACATTTGTGGTACCTGATTCCCACAAACTCATTTCAGGCTGCCAGAACATTAGCATCTGCTGAAAAGCTTATTTTAGCAAAGTGGATGGAAAGTGGAAGGTGTTTTTTTTTTCCTATTATACATTCATTGCCTCCCTCTCCTTTTAATATTTTCAGTGCATCTTAGTCATATGATCTTGATGCAGAAGGCAGTACTGTAGCAGTGATCCATGGCATTGCACCTGCGTTATACTGGCCAGGAAGATAAAGAGGCTGAAAATATATATTTTTTTCTATCAGCTGCTCCACTAAGCACCTTGTATTCCCAGTAGTCATATAAAAGAGAGGCTGTCCTCTGAAATGTAGGGCCACTCCATTTAGCCAGAAAGAGTTACAAAACAGATTAGTTCACATTTTTAAAACATGTAAAGAATTTAGAAAATGTTTTTCATAGTTCGATGAGAGAATCATGTGGAATTTTAGGGAGTTGATTTGAACAAATTCACAAATTATTTTTCTTCCTTATATTCCAAGAACAATTAAATACCTAGGAAGAAATTCCTCAAGTCTTTCAGAGTATCATTTTTTTGGTCTTCGTTTATTTTCACAGCATATTAAATTTTGCAGTAATTTAGGAAACTGCTTCTCTATGTTTCAACTCTTGACCCAGATTTGGTAGTTAAATGTTATTATGGATGAAAGCTGTATCTACCAGAGAGCAGCACTGTTTGGTTGGACACCATGAAACAGGAAATACAAGCTGTTGCATTGGTCTCTTTCTGCAGCTGTTCTGGAGGTGATCACTGGACCTCCATATGACAACAAGTAGATGAGGGGATGAGCTGCCACATCCAACAGCCCTCTCCTGCCTGAAAACAGCACATTTACTTGCAATACCATCTCTTGTGCCACGTTACTCAAGTTACCAAAATTGAATCTTTGTTCTGTGGCAGTAGTGCCAATTCACAGAACACTAACCTCCTTAGATGCCCATTACTCTACATGCCATCTTAGGTTATATTAAAAGTTATGGTAACCATACCCCTCATGTAAATCATCAGAAATAATATACAGCACTTGTATTGTTCAGCTTTTCTGAGCAAAAGTCCTGTGCTTTCTAGTCTTCTTTGTCAAGTGCTTTGTCACTGTGCTCTTTGCCCTGTGGGATAGAAGATTCTTTCCCTTCTCATTTGGCAGGTTCAAGTTGGGTATTAGGAAAAACTTCTTCATGGAAAAAGTGGTGAGGCACTGGAACAGAGAGGTAATGGAGTCACTGTCCCTGGAGATGTTCAAGAAACATTTAGACGTTGTACTGAGGGACATAGTTTAGTCAGGAAATATTGGTGGTTGTTGGACAGCTGGACCAGATGATCTAGGATGTCTTTTCCAATCTTGATGATTCTATGAAATGCAAAGCAAACTTAAAAGAAACATAATTAACACAGGCTTTCTCTTCACAATAGACTACTTGTGGGAAAGAAATTCCATAATATTC